GGGAATAATTGTGTTAATTAGGTAAAGTACTTAGAAGAATACCTGGACACACAGTAAAAGTACTAAGTGCTATTATTAAGATTGTATGCAGGCATTTTCTTATCTGGAGAATACATGCACATCTGTATGCATACACACAAAAACACGTGTCTGTGCAGCCACATATAAACACACACGTGCCTGCAGTCTGTTCAAGGGGGCAAAAACTGGTTCTTAGAAGGCAAAAAAAGAAACTTTCTCTTTTTATGAGAAAAGCATAGACATATATATAGTACATAAGCAGTATGTGTACACATATAGTACTTTTGTAGTGTTAAAATTTCTTAGGGTGGTAATAAGAAAAAAAAAGTCTAAAATGGTACCTTGGAAGGGAGGTAATTAAAAAGGTTGAGAAACATTGCTCTAAAGTGATTGGATATGCTTTTCTGTTTATGTTTCAGGGGACAGCATGGATTGGGGTGGTTGATGATGGTCACGTAGTTACCACATACAATGTTACAGCTGGCCAAGTGATCTTCTTCCCTAAAAATACACTACACTGGATAAAGAACGTGGGGAATGAAGACTGCTTTTTCTTGCTCTTCTTTTCCACACATGATGAACTTCAGACCCTGGATGTTGATGATGTATTTTTTTCTACACCTGAGGACATCGCTTCCAGGTCACTTAAGGTCTGTACTGAAAACTGAATCCCACCATGAGAGTATGCATTGCTTAGGCGCAAAGAAAGCATGAGAATTCATGTTTCTGGGACAGCAGTCAGTAGGGTAATAGTTGGATAATGGACTCAGAAACAAACCTTGTGTTTTTCCTAAGGATATAAAACTCATAGAGATTGTTTGTTTTATGTTTTCCTTTATGAAGGACTTTTATAGGAAACTATATGAATTTGATAGAAAGGTTATGATATAGTTAATACAAATTGCTATAATTTTTATTTCTGAAAAGCCATAAGCTAGTACAGGGAGAAGTTTGCTACAGATAATGTAATTGTGTTTTCTTAATCTAATGCAGAAGATCCCACACTTTTTCTGAACAACAGCTATTTTTGGTCTCTTCTCTGATAATGCTGGGTACAGAGGGGTCAGTCATAGATGTGACAATGTAAATAGGTGATCAGAAGAACTGATGATGGCCCATGATTGGCTATTGGAAGTGGTTCCGTGGTAAATTTAGAAATCTATCTAGTTAGGTTTTACGATCTATTTTGCAGCAGATCCTGGTCTAATTTTATAGAGAAAAGTAGAAGAAATGGGTCATTAGGGAGAGTATAGATAAACATGGAAACCAATGTATGTTTTTGTAGAAGTTTTATTGACCAGAGAAATCAACACATTTAGAACCAAAATACATCGAAAACTTAGAGGATTTTCATAAATATCACAGGTCTTAAGCTAATCGAGTTCAGCACTTTTGACTGGGCCACTGAAAACCACACTGATGCTGATACTACCCTATCCTCGACACCGACTATTCTATTGCTAAAATTTGTAGAATGTTTCACAAATATCATATGTGGTTTCTTATGTGTTTCAGCCAGAAGGTGGAATTAATTTCATTAGAACATTCCATAAACAAAAAGAAGATCAGGGAGTCAACCTTCCTCACAACTTGGCAGAACTGGTTACAAATGCTAGTTATACACAGTCTCCAGACAACCTTGTGTGGAGATACTTTTATGACCTTAAAGGTATCGTGTGTTATTTTGTGAAGCCTTTTTAGTTAAGTATTTATATATGTGATTATATAGGTGTATTGGATTGAGGTGTAAAGGGCTTTTTATTTTTGACAGTGGATCACAGTCAAGAGAAGTTTGAACAGAGTTTCTCAATAGAGTAGGTAGGAAATGTAAGAAAAGGCCTAGAGGCAAAAGAGAATGTGGCGAAAGATTTCAAAGTGTTAGGATATGTGTGGGGGCTGGAGGAGGGGATTGTAGGAGAAGAGGCTGGTGAGAGAAGAGGAGTCCAATTATGCAGGTTTTATGCAAATGAGTTTATACTTTATCTTATTGGACAAGAGGGACAATTAAGGGGTTTTAAACAAAAGAGTGATACAATTAGGTAGTTTATTTATTTGAGAGATAATTGACATACATTATATGAGTTTTAGGTGCACACATAATGATTCAATATTTATGTATATTACAAAATGATCATCACAATAAGTCAGTTAACATTATCACCATGTATACAGAACTGTTTTTCTTATACTGAGAACTTTTAAGATCTACTCTCTCAGCAACTTTCAAATATGCAATACAATATTATTAACTGTAGTTGCCATACTCTACATTATATTCCCATCATCTATTTATTTTATAACTAGAAGTTTGTATGTTTTGACTCCTTTTACCCATTTTGCCCATCCCTATCCGCAACCTCTGGCAAACACCAATCTGTTCTCTATATCTATGAGCTTTTCTTTTTTGTTTTAGATTCCACATTTAGATGAGATCATATAGTATTTGTCTATCTCTGTCTGACTTATTTCACTTAGCATAATGCTCTCAAGTTTCATTCATATGTCACAACTGGCAAGAGTTCATTCTTTTTTATGGCTGAATAATGTTCCATTGTATATATGTTACCCCACATTTTCTTTATCCATTTATTTGTTGATGAACACTTAGATTGCTTCCATATCTTGGCTATTGTAAATACTGCTGCAATGAACATGGGAGTGCAGAGATCTTTCTGAGTTAGTGTTAGTTTTGCTTTTTGAAGTGGTGACCAATTTTTTTAGAATGGATTGGAAGGGGCCAAATGAGAGGAGAGAAGATTGAGTCAGGGGCTCTTGGAGTCCCTCAAATAGGGGTGGTGGTGGCCTGCACTATGACAGTTGTGTGTGAGAGAGAACTGTTGTGAAACAGAGAGGATCTAAAGAGGTCGGGCTGACTTGAAGCGTGGGGTAGAGATGGGTATTTAGGACGCCTCTCAAGTTTTCTAGCCAGGCCTCCTGATTGAACAGTCTATTTTAAAGAGGCTACCCTATGTTGGAAATTTCAGGAGCGCTTGGAAGGTTGGATATATCTAACCACATCAGGTCAGTATCTTGGGGACACATAGGATCTGGCGTTAGCAGTTCCCACCTCATAAGTTTTTGTGACTAGAAGAGCTGTGTCCCTCACTGGGACTAAATTTGACTTTCCTTTTGCAGTACCATTTTGAAGTATTTTATCTTATTTTGTTTTTCAAACTTTATCTGACTCAGGTTCAAAAGAATATCGATTTCCAGGAGGAATAATACAACTGGCACAATATTGGAAAAATGGAAGTGAACTAAGCAAAAATGAAAAAATTTTTAGTACATTCCTGAATCAGGTAATTGAGAAAAAATAATGTTTTAATGATTATTAAGGTAGATGAAATATGAGATTTAGATAGGATTTAACCTTCTTTTGGATAAAAAGAAAACATCAAGTCAAACATTTGTCAATTTGGTTAATGTAAACTATTAATTGAGGCTTCGGTGTAGATTTGGGAACTAAATTTTTTGGCATGGATGGCTACATTAATGAAAAGACTGGATACTTGTGAGTCTTTTCTTTTTATTTGTTTTAAATGCATAATGACTAAAAGCACAGCTGTGGTGTCAAATTCCCTGATTCAGAATCCCAGTTCTGCCACTGTGTGATCCTAGGTACGTTACTCAACCAACCAAGATTTTAATTTCAGCACCTGTAAAGTGGGGAGAATAATACTACCAACCTTATAAGGTTGGTATAAGAAACAAAAGACATAATAAATGTAAAGTACATAAAAACTGCATGTCTTAGGACTACATAAATATTAGTTATGATTAAATGAATTGTTAAGTTGCTGAATAGGATGTTGGCCAAATAACTGTATTTCATGTTTTTCTTTTTCAAGCATCAAAATACCCTTGCTTTGAGTACACTCAAAATATACAACAATGGATTACGACAGCCACATTTCCATTTTAATGCGAATGAAATGGGATACGTAATAAGTGGATGTGCAAAGGTAATTTTTCTGTGAACAGTTTTTTGAACTTCTCTTTTTAATGCAGAAAGAAGCAAAGGGAAAGTATTTCTTCATCTTGGTTCAGTAGTTGGTAACATAAGAGGACTTGGTGCTAATGGCTTTCTGGGCAGTTTCCAGAAGACACCCTGCTAGGCAGCTTTCAAGATTGATTTTAGTGTGAAAAGAGGCTAAAAACATTTCAGAAGTAATAAAGAGTTATCACTCATGGTGAAAGGTCTGGAACACCTGCTTACATTTTCAGAGTTTTGCATCCTCAGGTAATGCAAGGGTTTAAGGTGCTGCCCTATGGAGAATGCGAAATCACTGTTTGCCTCTCAGTGTAATGTGAGTTGGGGCGGGTGGAGAGATGTCAAGCATCAGTAGACTGGCCATATATCCCAGTTTATCCTGAATCCTCTCGACTGTTAACAGTGCCCACTTTGACTCTTCAGAGAGTCCTGGTTTGGATGATCAATTATATGGTTAACGTAATAAAAGCAGAACTGAGTAGCACGTTGCTATAGTGATTTGACATTGGTTCTGGACTTTCATGGGGCCCCCTTGGGGAAATCTATAATGGTATACACAGGTAAAATGGGCTTCTCTAGCCTATACCTGTCTCAATCTTGACAGAACCAAACCAGACTGAAACTCACCTATTACATCATCGATAGCAAAAGTTTTGTTTTATGTTTTTTGAGGTGAAGGCTTCAGTAAATTGGAAAAGGACATTGTAATTTTTCACAAATTGTATTTCAAGGATCAGATTTTATTTTTGGTGTGCTTGCGTGCTCACATGTGTGCATTTGTGTGCACATTTAGTCTCTAACATTTTTAGGGAAGACTGTTAGGATGCTGCTCTCATAGAAGGCTGAATTTTCCCAAATACAGAGAAAGGAAGGCATGGGAGTAGTAAAACATTGAATTTTAAGTCCTTTGCCTACTAAGATACTTACCTAAGGGTAATTTATAACCCTTAATTAGAACATAGTGATTGAGGTTCTTTTTGTATCATGTTCTGCATTACTGAACTCGCTAATGGCATTTTGAGATACATTTACTTAGAGCACCTTTTGATTTTTGTGGGACTGTGCCTGAGAAACAGGAGCTTTTATGTGAAGGACCGCATCCATCTTCTGCTATTTACCCTCACTAAGAATTTCCTTTATAACCATGTGCTTTAATTCTTCTGTTCTTCACTATTAATATTTATCCTTAATGAATATTTAATTTTATTTGCTTAACTTCAAGATTTTTTTCTTCTTTAGGTGGGCATTATTAATACTCAGGGAACCACAGAGTTCGACATTCACATTGGAGATGTGATATTTTTTCCCATTGGAACGCAGCATTACATTAAGAGTGCATGTGATGAGGATTTGCTCCTCATTCTTGCCTTCAGCACTGGAGACCAGGTGAGAATAAGCGCACTGAAGAGAGATTGCTGAGTGCCATGATGTGCAGAGTACTCTGCTAACCAATATTTCTGGATCATAGGGGCCTTCAGTAAATATGTGTTGAATGAATGAATAAATGAATGAATTGGCAGAACCAATGTGCGAAGAGAAGGAGCATCAAGTAATCTTTTCATTTGGTTATAAAAGGATCCAATATATCACATTCCTTCTTAATTCCTCGAGTTCTGAACCAACTGAGAAAAAATGGCAAAGAGTAGTATATAGAGATCCATGAAGTCATTCTCATTACTAAGAAAGCAGATTTTAGAAAATGTAACTAATACCTGTGGGCAGGTAGGTTTCCTCATATCAGTCCCCAAAATTGGATTGGCCTTCGCAAGCTGAGGCAGGCCCTTATACACCTTATGGCATAAGGAAACAGAGCATGCTCTTTGAAGCTTTGCCAGCTCCCAAAGAGGGAGGAGCTGAACTGAGCATGCCCAGTTTATTCTTCCAGAATTTTCTTGGTGGAGAGAGACAGAGAAATAGAGGCTCTTGTGTATGAAAAGAAACTTTAAGCATAGTGAAGTAACATCGAGCATGATTGAACAATGCTACTATGTAGGAATAGTATTTTTTCCTATCATTTTTAAGCAAATCTGATATAAGATGATCTTTATTATAACAATACATAATACATTAATACATAAATTAGGGAGAATTACTGTGTTAAATAATTATTTGCTTTTAAAAATTCACCCAAGGTGATTTAATTAGATGCAATAATGTGTTTGTGGAACAGGAATAAACAGTGGAATTTAGATTTTTAAAAATCCTTAGGGCTAGGTTCCCTTCTGAGACTTGTAGCAGTGAGAATGATAACAGTCTGACTGGGCCCCTCTGAGGCAAATCCAGGAACTGACAGATGTTTCTCTTGCCCATGGTTCTTCTTACGAGTGAGGGCCAGTAAGATCTCCAGGGGAGAGTGCGGCATGAATTTGGCAGTGTCATCACAAGTAGGATTCACCCCTGGAGAGAGGTTCTGTCATGCTCATTTCCTATGATGACACCTATCTTCTTTGCGGGAGGTTGGAAAATTCCAGCATTTTCCTTGCTGGGTCTCCCAGTCTTCCTGGGGGTACCTGGATGAGGTTTGTGGAGAGCTAGGTGAGGAAGAGATGGAGTTGACAGCTAGCTGTAGACTTTGTTGGGTTGTGGGGAGAAGGAGCCCAGTGTTCCTTACTTTTGGTGTGGGTCTCCCTGATACTGCCACCCCTTTACCATTCTCTACAGCCGTTATATGGATAAATCATGGTGCAAAATCAAATCAAGTAAAATATAAATAGGAAAAAGAAAAAAAACCTCAAGTTATACATAGCAAGTTAGAGTTTAAAAAGTTAAGAATAAGAAAAGAGAATTTTAAAAATAAGCACAATATAAATTTTATGTAAGTGTAAAAGTATTCCAAAGGTAAACACTTAAGAATTAAATAAATATGAAGGATAAAATAAATAAGAGTTAATGTGACATGAAAGGCTAATACCAACAAATTAAAACTTAAAATATGAAAGAAGGATAAAAATAACAATTGACACCTGTTAAATACAAGCCAAAAATTAAAGAGTATAAATCTTTTAAAAAAAGAATAGAAATAGGAAGTTCTTTTCTTAAATGGAAAAAAACCCCACAAAACAATTTAAGAGAGTGATCCACAACAGGGAAGAAAGAAATGAATCAGAGTTTTAGGTAGGAGGAATTTTTTTTTACCTCTGCCCCTACCCTCCGGATTATCTGATATCCCACTTGAGAGGGGATAGTCCCCCACTACTCTCTCAGAGTAGGAAACGTTTCTAGTGCGGATATGTTTCGCATAAGGGGTATAAAGATAGAGGCAGAGGTGAACACATGCCCGGAGAGAAACACAGAATAAGAGACAGAGACCCAGAGAGAGAGACATACATGCCCAGAGACATACACAGATGGATACAAAGAGAGATGCATAGAGAGAAAAATACATGCTTAGAGACAGACACAGAAATAAAGACATGCAGAGAAGCAGACACAGAGAGAGGGAGAGAGATCTACAAAGGGAAACATACAACACAGAGACACACAAATAGAAGGAGACACAGAGACATACATACAAAGAGGGATAGACACTCATAGAGAGACAGAAGCAGAGACACAGAGAAGGAGAGACACACAGGCACATACATACATACACACAGACAGGCAGTCCTGTGCACAGAAGGACACAGAAAGACACACACACATACACATGCACAGGGACAGACAGACATAGGGGCCACACACATAAACAAAAGAGAGATTCAGAGACAAATAAGCACGTGCGCGCGTGCACACACACACAGAGACACACACACAGACATAGAGAGAGGCAGAAACACACAGTGAGAGAGATACATAGAGAAACACACCAATGCAGAAATTGAGGGAGCCTACTGGGAAAGAGGTGGCGTCAGAGAAAGAAAGAGAGGGAGAGAGATAAAGACAGTGGTAGGAAGAGTGGACAAGGACAGACAGTCACTCCCACCTGGCTGGATAGTCAGGCCAGAGAGGCAGAAGTTATTGACTCAGCAGAGAGGTCAGTCTCTGGCTTTGGAGCAAGAGGACCACTTACCAGGCAGTGAGATTTGCCTCCATCATGTGCCCCTGGGCATGGTGCTCTGAGAAGCTGTTTTGTCACTAGTCCCTGCTCACAGGAAGACAGAGAGCCCTGTTCCCTCATCAAAGAGAACTCTTTTTTCAGTAGGATGGGGATCCTTTCTAAAGGAAGCTTCAGATGCCCCAGCACATCTAGCCATCAGTCAGACTTTCCTTATTCTCATAGTTTAAAAGGTGAGCTCCCCAGGCAAGGGAAGAACAGGCACACAGGGTGACCATTCACAGGAATTCATAGCTGTGCAAAGTTAAACAGCCAAGTACTCACTCTGTGGTTTTGTAAGTGCCTCAATGCCTGTAAGGTCTTTGTAGGAACCTGAGTAGTTACTGATACATCTTTTGGTTTCCATTATCAGCTGCAAACCCTTGACATGGATGATTACCTCCAGGCCACAGCAGACCATATTCTGGCCCAGCTTTTCTTCAAGAAACAAAGTGAGTTTAAGAAGATCCCCAAATTCAAGGAGGACCAGGCAATCAACTTGCCTTAGATTTGCTGATGAGTTCATATTTGTTCTTCCTTCTTCATTTGTTATTATTGTTTTAAATGAACTTGGCTAATGAACCTGGAGCTAGCTCTTCACAGCGTGGACAGGCGAAAGCTAAGCAGCACTATGGGCTCATTTAGCCAATAGTGACTGTGGGCAGTTCATGCTAAGAGGACATTTAGTACACTCTGTGTAGATTAGTGGATCTATGGAGGCGATCTTATAAATTCAATAATTATATTTGGGTATGGATTTTAGTATATGTGTATATATTTGTTTATTTTTCCCTTTGTTACTTCAAATTTATTACTCCAAATGAAAATCCATTATTTTCATGCATATCAGTAAGTCTTAGTACCGAGCATGTATTTTTGTTATTCATCACTGTGAAAGGAAGTAGGTCAGCCTACATGTGGACATATTGAGGCACTGGAACTCAGATACATCGAACCTTGTATGGAGACTTTATTATGGCACCCTAAGCCAGTGATTCCTAACCCTTTGGTTGGCATGAAAATAGTTTTTATAATGCCCAAAATTTCAAGGCCTAACTCATGTGAGTAGTTGTATACTTATTGTATATTAGTTGAGAAAATACTTGGTAAGCTAATTATGAATTCAATACTTTCTTTGAATGTATTTGGATTTTCTTAATCATATCAACTATTTAAAGTCGAGGAATAGCCATCTCTATATTTGAGAAGCACATGGTTTATTTATTTTATACGCAATGCTGGCTGTGTATATGGATCCAAGGACCACTTGTCATCACTTGGAAGCTGGCAGGGGCTGGTGGTCTCTGAGCTGGGGGCCAGAGTCTTAAGTAGAAAACAATTCGGTTATATCTAATCTTTGTTTTTTGTTTATAATTTATTTTAACAGACATTTGGTACCCCCACATGTGGCTTGGGTACCACCATCAGTTCTGGGCTACCCTATACACAATTCTAAAGTCAATATAGCTGATTTTTAATGCTTTTGACCACCATCCCTTATCAGTTATTCCCCTGATACCGAATGGGATTTTTAGATGTCTTAAGATATTCGTTCTAAGGCTAAAAAGAACCTGTATGTTCCTTTCTCTTCTCTATCTCTTTCTAGCTCTGTTAACTACAAATACAGAATTCAGTAGGTGTCAGAATGGCTCACTTTTAGCATGGGAAGTAGCTGCCTACATAATGTGCACAGTCAGATCATTAAAGGCCTGTTATCTCTTGGAACCACCTTAACTGTGTGTTTGCCTTATTACCCTTTTTTGGGAGAGCCAGCCAAGATCAGAGCTTGGTAGCAATGTGAGTTTTGTGCTGGTGGAGGTGTTTTGAAGAGACTTTGTAGGGAGTGGGTCCAGGGGAGGAACATGGTTGAGAAGATGCAGGGAACAGCACAGGGCAAAGGGTGTATGGGAGGAGGATATCCAGATAGGGGGAAATAGTCATAAAAGGTAAACGGCAATGTGTGCAGACAGATGTTGTCTATGAATTTTGTTTTACTTTGAGAATTTTTAAATATATTATTAACTGGTTCATAATCCATTTTCTTGTATCAGGAAGTATTGTGTCAGATTACTATGTGGTCATTTAATAAAGATTTTATACATCATTGTGTATTTTTTGCCATTGTAGTTTTGAATGAAATCTGTTCTTATGATTTTATGTATTTGAAGCATTATTGGATTCCCTCTATGCACCCTTGAAATGTGACTTAGGAATCCAATCCACCACATATTTAAAAAAGAAAAATCTTAAAAATAAAACTCTAATGGAGACAATTTAATTGGAACATTGTTGGTATATTATTTCATGGGAAGATATGTTTTTAACTTTCACTTAGTTCTAATTTCAGTCCTTTTATCCTCTGTGGGATGCTGATTTCTGGCTTATCATTTTTTTTTTCTAGGGTAACTTAGTCCACTAATAATCAAATGCTTTTAGACTTTTTGGTATATTTACTTTATTACCAGATCAGTAGACTGAAGAATGAAATTGCAATCAGACTGATTATTTACTGCTCATCATTTAGGCAAAACTCAGACATTTGACTGAAATCCTCCTTTAAAACTGAACCCACATTAACCATTTTAAACACACAGTATAAGATGGCCACATTTGATTCAGTCGAGATGATATAAATTGTACATTAAATGTTTTTAAAAAATCTTTAAAAAGAACTTTCTTTTAATAGCAGCTTTGAATAACTGAATGGAATGACTTGATTTGAGTAGAGGAAGTACAGTTTAAGAAAACCACTGAATGTTCCTTATTATTTCTAAATAGTGGAAGGTGGTTGTAACTTTTTTTTCATATTCTCATCCTTTCCTATTGAATAATCAGACTGCTTTTTATCACCCAACTGATTAGGGAAAAGAGTATAGTTACTTTACTATAAAACTTGATTCCCAATGACCTTAATTTCTCAACGGTCGAAAGTGATTCAGCAGTATAATATTATTGCTTAAGAAATTAATGAGGAAAGAAAGCAAAAAAAAAAAAAAAAAGCTACAGCAATTTTGTGCTATAATTTGAAGATACAAGTGATGTCTCCCCCATTCTCTGTACTCACCAAAGCTTAATGAAACTGGTATGGCCACTTTGGATCACTGTTCCCTGAAAAGGCTGGAAGACACTGGAAAGCCCAGAAAAGAACAGTGGTAGCTAACGACGTGGAAACTCTTTACTTCATTGTACTGAAGTTGGAACTGTTTGGAAAAAAGAAGTTAAGGGATGACTTAGCACCATGAAATTATGGAGCTGGTAGAGGCCACATATCATTTAGTCTCATTGTTTTAATTTGCAGAAATGGGAAATGAGACTCAAAAGGGTAAGTGGCCAGTAAGATATTCGAGACCAAAGTCCAGGTCTTTTAAGGTACCCTCCCTTCCCTTGTAGTGTATTTTTGGTTACTGTCTTCAGGTATATGAGAGATTCCTCTACATGAAGCAGAATATACTAGAAAGTGCACCGTGTTCAAGTGGGAGAGGTGGCTTATGCTATCTACCAATCAGCAGTCCCTCCAACAGCACTGCTTCTCCTTTGCTGGGCCTCCACATGCTGGATGCCCAGGTCCCAGCTGCTTTCTGTAGGGATGGTCAGAGCCTCCTGAGATCACAGGTCACTATATTCATATCTAGTCAAGTACTCGCTGCTTGTGTTTTAGTTTAAAATTTTTATTCAGATTTTTTTTCATTGTGATAAAATATACATAACATAAAATTTACCATTTTAACCATTTTCAAGAGTATAATTTGGTGGCATTAAGTGCATTCATATTATTGTGTAGCCATCACCATCATCCATCTCTAGAACTTTTTCATCATCCTAAGCAGAAAGTCTGTACCCATAAAACACTAACTGCCTACTCATCTCTCCCCCCAGCTCCTGGTAACCTCTACTCTACTTTCTGTCTCTATGAATTTGACTATTCTAGGTATCTCCCTAATATACATGTGGAATCATATAATAATATAATACTCATTGTTTGTTTTTATGAGGTTCTTGCTCATTTTTAAAAACGATGCTTTTACTATGTGCTTTGAGCTAGGGTATACAAGAAACATAAGATGTGGCCTCAGAATTTTTAATGTAAATGTTACTAATTCAATGCTGTATTTCTCTTCTCTCCCTACCTCTTCCCTGGATGAATTCTGCCCTTATGATGAATATTCAAAAATAATTCTTTTTTTAAAATTCAGATTATATTAGTGAGGCCAGAGCAACAAATGTGAAAAAAAAAAAAAGCCATTAGTTTACATTATGCCCTCATATTTCCAGAGAAGGCAACACACAACCCCTTAGGTAATTCCTGTTCCAGTGTCCTTGGCCCTAAAAGATTTTTCACAATTCTCATAAAATGTCTTTTCCCTAATTTTGTTTGAGGTGAGCCTTCATTCTAGGCCCTAAAGTTTAAACACCAAGATAAGAGTGTTTGAATTTTGTTTTTGTTTTTTTTTTAAATATTAACAAGAAACTTCGAACGGCCTCAATGGGTGTCCTTCACATCTCTTAGTTCTGTAATGCCCAACTTAATCATTTTATTATGCAGATTCTTCCTTGGTTCAGAGTGTAGAGTATCTGAAAGGAAGTAAGTTGAGATGTGCAAGTTGAATGGGATATTGTACCACTTTGGCTGGAGTGAGGGAGAACTCAGGCAAGGCATTAGCAGACATCGAAAATGCCCACTTTAGATGTCAGGTCGATGAAAAGATTTAAAAATTTTAAGTTGTCACTCAGAAAAAAAATGCAAAGCAATTAGTAACCACTTTTTTTTTTTAAATCTCTTTTTAGGAAATTGGGCAATTAAGAGGCAGGGTTTTTAATTTGTTTTTGTTTTGGTATTAAGGGTACAGTGTGCAGTAGATGTTAGTAGCATCAGGAATAAATTAAATGAAAAACAGAACACTTACTATGAGCACTGTTCTATTATCGTCCTTGGAGATGATTTTGTCTCTGTTCATAAGAAGTTAAATATAGTAAAAGCCAATAAGAAAACTGTTCTGTCAGCCAGGATGGATTATCCTTTCAAATGTACTTTCTCCTGTCTTGTGAAATAAGCCGTGGGAGATGAGTGTACCAGTTTATAGTACTGAGATCCCACCTGGCCTGGGTGTGGGAAGGAACTCTTAAATATACAGACAGCTGCAGATTGAGAGAGTCAGAAACACACAAATGAAAAGGGAAAACTGTGAGTTTAGCTTTTGTTTTAAAATTCCGTAACTCAGTCAAGAGCCGGAGCAGAACTCCTGAGCCTTCTTCCGATGGGAGAGCTTGAATTTTCTCCATAAAATATTTGCTTTTTTATGGGATAATTTTCTAAATGAGCACGGCCAGCTTCAGCCCATATCTTTAGCTACCACCCTTTAGGTTTTTAACTTTTAACCTCTTATTTAAATATAGCATACATGGAGAAAAGTGCATACATCACAAGTGTAAGCTTGTCGCAAATCGAACATGTCCATCCAACCAGCACCTTGGCGTTGGCAGCCCTGGGAGAAATTTAGGCTGAAAGTGGATTTTAGAGAAAGTGGGAAGACACAGAGCAATGGTTGCTGTCATTTGAGATGGTAAGGGAGATACAGACCCTCCTGTAACTTTGCAGTGACTGTAGGAAGGGGTTTCAGAGTGGTGGAATGTGGGGCAAGGGAAGTGGTAAAACCTTTTGGCAAGTCCCTTCTTCCATTTCTTGACACTGGCTGCCTTTCTGGAAAAGTCACTCTAGAGGCAACGACTCATTTGGCGGGGTCCCCTCCATTCTCCTCTTCTTGCGGCATGTAGACCATTTCTACTTGGAACATGAAATATTAAAAATTCTCTATATACAGGCATTTCCCAAACCCAACACATAAAGGTCAAGCGCAACAGGATACTCATGTTTTGAATGGAATATGGATGGAAAATTTGAATTTAAGTATTTTGGGACAGATGCTGGTAAGGGCAGCTTGATCTGAATGATGAACTGGATGCAGGGCTGGGGCTCTAGCCATTGGTTACATATCCATAATAGGCATGTAGGAAATTAATATGAATTTGAATTAGTATCTGAAGTCTTTCTTCAAAGTACCCTTGTTCAAAGGAGAGAAAAAACCCACCCATTAAGTATCATAGGCCAGATTACTCTGTCACCTGCTGCGGTATCTCTGTGACCATCTGGAATGCCAAATGGTCTGTTACTGTGTTTTAAAGACTCCCTACTTATAGTGACCCCACTTCCTTCACCAAAGGTGCCCTATGTGCCACTGTATTCCTGCCTTCCACATCCTTGACCTCACGGTACTATAATACTCAGGAAGGCTGAAAGAGAAAAGAGACCCCTCAGAGCTGGGAAGGGACCATATAAATCACCTAGTTCAGGAAGTCCAAGCTTTTTCCTACAGGGCCCCCAAGTAGCCTCCATAGGGTTTGAACTTGGAGAAGGGATGAGCCAAACGGAGTCGCTCAAGGCCCTTACCAGCCTTCACCCTGCCGTGCTTCAACAAAAAAGAGTTTGAAATGCAATGAATAATCCAATCTTCCCTTTCTAGATAAGGAAATTGGGGCCTGAAGAGCTGACTTTCTTGATACAAAGAGTATGAGAGCGGCAGTGATAAAACTGCTCTAGAAATTTGATGATTTGTGGGAATCAGAACCCAGATGTCACTGTGGAGGAGGGAGTTAAAGGGCACGTAACTTCATAAAGTTTTAATTTCTTTGAGAAATTTTAACCTTCCCAAGGATGTGCTTGCCACCTTCTTTTGATTCTCTACATTTTTAGAACACAGCTTTGGAGAGCTGTACACACAGTTTCAGGAAAAATTTCACTGACAACTTTCAGCTAGTGCTTCTCGTGGCAATGTGAGGCCAAACATGGGTACTATGATGAAGACCGTTCCTTTCATTTAGGCTTGTCTTTAGTTCACAGCTCCCTCCCATCCCATAGAGAAGGCCATAAACATGTCTAATCCACATTCCATAATTCCTGGATGACTGCTTAACTTTTGATGGTGCTAGAGATCCTTTCTTTCACTCCTCCACCTGCCTAAACCCATCTATTAGACACTCTGCTCCCCAAAACTCTCTTATATGCAACTGTCTACGTGATATTTTCACTTGCTTATCTAATTAGCATCTCCGACTCAACATGACCAAAAGTGAATTTCTGATCTCTCCCAAATCAACTCCACCTGAGCATTTTTCCTCTTGGTTAATAGCACCTCTTTCCTTCCAATTACTCAAGCCCAAACCTTCAGAGTAACTCTTGTCTCTTCTCTATCTCACACTCTCCAACCACACTTTCAGCAAATCTTGGAC